AAGGAATACCTTGGTATGGATGCTAAGTATATCACATGTTACTGGATAGAACAACCACTCCTGCACATGGTCCTTCAAACGCTACTTGAACACCCCAGGAAAGGGGAATTCACTACTATTAGTTTAGACTGATTATTATCCCCATAAGCAATATGACCAAGTAAAACCAAAACAGCTGTGCCTGCCAAGATGAGCAGGATGTACAAACAAAAGGGAAACAGAAAAGAGGTACTTCAGGATCCTAAACAACTTCATGTTACCAGAAGGTCATGGGCATGCTACAAAAAGGCAACTAGCTGTTTTGGGATACCAGGTGCCCAAGAGACTGCTCTAATTTTAGAAATAACACAGTGCTTACTAAAGAGGGTCAGGACTCATGGGTCTGGAATGCAACGTTCTTTCACCCTCAGGCCGTGCATACTCATAGTCTGTTGTTGATTCTGCTCCAATTATTTTCTGATATTGAGGGAGGTAGGACCAGACCACAGAACTGGCATGTGCCTAAGGAATCTGCCAAGAATTATTAAATGATAACTTAAATAATACATTATTTAAATTTACAGAGAGTTGTAAATTTACAGAGTTGGTGATGGCCACTGTCTGATAGGCTGAGTTCATTTTCACAGTGGCCTTATGCTGATATCCTCTGACTCTCCAGATCCATCCTCTGCCCTTCCCTGCCAGTCCTTTGCCCTAGGAGGCTGACCTCCTAGGCTGGAGGCATCCCCTGAGCCGCCAAGTGCATCCTGCGGTTGTGTTCGGCCAATGGGGAGCACCAGCAGATCAGAGTGAAGAGAGAAAGGTTAAGGTACTTCTTCTCTGTGCTCTGGCTGAGTCTGTGGCCCTGCCTTCTCTGTTCTATATTTTGCAGCACGATTTTCTGTCCTTGTCCTGTTGGGCCTAGGAGTGCTGCTGACATCTGCTTTCCGGGTGTCTTACCACCCCTTGTTTTTACCCTTAACACTCGTACTTCTGAAACAGACCTTCATTAAGGTCATCTCTTTATTTGAACCAAGTGGGAATGACTTCTATTTCCTAACAGACTCCTTGTTACTATTATATCTTGCCCTGCTAACAACATTCCTTCTGTCTCTCCCAATTATTATCAAGCCTGGAAAGAAGCAAACCCCATGTTACTATCTTAGCATTAACTCTAGGGGACCTGATACCCTCATCTGGGTCCCCTGTAAACAAAAAACAATTCCCTGGAATTTTAAGCCTCTGTGAATCAGTATTTATTCCATTAGCTCCTTTTATAAGCTAGACTGTTGCTTGGAATCAGAACTTGTTTGGTTCCTGAGCTTTTCCTGCATCAATGTGAAATATGCAGTCTTTGTAACCTGGTGGGATAGGGGCACATTCAACCTATAGCATATAGGATCCTAGTTTAATTTTGAACAGTGGTCCTCTGAGTTCTTACCTCAAAGCCCTAGCTAATAAATAAGCTTTCTTGTCCATGAGCAGGAACTTAAAAGATTGCTTTTAAAGTGAGAAATGGGGAGATGCCAAAGGGTGGAAAGTTTCAGTTTTCAAGACGGATAAATGCTGGAGATCAAATGTATTGCAATGTGACTATAGTTAACAATACTCTATTGCGTACTTGAAATTTGCTAAAAGGAACGATTTTAAGTATCACCAAAAAAAAAAAAAAAAAAAAGAAAAAAAAGAAAGTGATAACTATGTTAGGTGATGGCTATGTTAATTGACTTGATTGTGGTGATTATTTCACAATGTCTATCTAAGCATCAAGTATATACCTTAAATATATACCATTTTTATTTGTCAATTAGACTTCAATAAAGTTGGGGCAGCAAGCTACCTCCTTAGGCCTGTGTTAATTCACTCAAGCTCTTTCTCAGTATTCATAGCCAAATGACTACACTTTCCATTTATAAATAGAGGGGGCCTCCCAAGACCTAGAGACCCATCATTGCTTTTAGGCATTCATGTCACACGTCAGCTCAGGCAATATTTTACCAAGTTCATACTGTTTGAATCTTTTATTTATTTATAGTGACAGTAATACATTTGGCACTTACCCATCCTCCTAAAAGCCTGATAACCCCAGTTATCTTGTGCTATAAGTGGCCTAGCTTTCACTAACTTAGAAATGAGGGTTTGGAGGGGGCAGGGAGATGGGGAACATTCTGATTAGCCAACAGTTTCCTAATGCAAGTAGGTCTGTGGCACAGCCCTGTCAGCTACCAGGGAAACCCGTGAATTCACCACAGAAGCTGTCAGGCCAGCTTAGAGGCATCCATGATGAAAATCCCAAGTTATTTCTGGAGTAGGTGATTGATGTTTCAAATAGAAAATGACATTTTGATGGGATCTAAGCTTGCTGTGATCAGAGTTAATAAGGATAATGATGATGATAATGATATTTACATTATATCTTTCATCCAAAGAACTCTTCAGTTCTTTTATCGCATTTGCCTTGAAAATGCCCCTTCGGAGTTGGGAGGGGAAGGTGTTATTAATCTGTTCTTCAGGAAAGAAAATATAGAGACTTAATTGCCAGGCTTTCAGGCTCCATTTTGGTGGTAAGAAGAGATATTTAAATAACAAATTAAACTTGGAGAAATTAAGCTTGGCAAAACACCAGTCTTTCTCAGTTCCCAGTCATCCTATATAATGCTGCCAGATCAAGCTCCAATAATATCACTTCTTGACCAAAAAGTCTTCAGGGGATCCTGGCAGACTGCCAAATTCAGTCCAAATAACTCAGCAGGCAAGGCCCTCAACGTTCCAACCAATGTTGTCTCACCATGCTCTTATATTTACCCTGCGTTTCAGCCAAATAAATCCGCTTGCTCGCCCCTACAGCCTGCTCTAAGCACCCCATTCTCCTTCAATAATGTTCATTCCCCTTGCCCGAACTTGTTCATTGTCTGTCTTCCCTGTTGCATGTACATTCCAGGAGGGTAGGGACTGTCACCACTGTATCCTCAGGGCCTAGCAGAGTTAACTGGCACTTAACAGGGGCTCAAATACTTGCTTCTGAAGTGAACATGATGCTCACCCACCTCTATGCCTTTGCTTCTGTGGCTCCCTCAGCCTAGACAGCCTGTAGTCCCATCTCAACCTATTGAAGCCAGAGCTGTCCTTCCAAGCCCAGAATAAACCCCAATTCCTATGTCTGGTCTCCCTGACTTGGGAACAGATGTGGCATTGTTCTTTTGTAGTTTGTACCTTCTGCTGTATCATAATCATTTGTGTATTTGTATAGTCATCCTTCCCTGCCTCTTCCAAACCATCAGCTCTTGAAAGATAGGAGCCGTACTCCAGAGCCTGGCAGGGTGTGGGCACTTGTTAAATATGTGCTCACTTGTCTAAAATCATTGATGACCAGCATTCTTTAGTCAGCAAAATTCCTACTTCCAGAATCTGTAGCTTGTCATGAAAGGGCATTTTTCTGTTTCCTCTTCCCTTATTCTTTCAGAGGTGTGGAGGAAGGTCAGTCAGGGAACCCCTGCCAAATCTTTCTTAAAGAAGTATCTCCCTTTCTCCTCTGGGAGGAGCAGTATATCTGGCACTGAGGTGGAGGGCTCCATTTCTGACTGGGACCCACAGCAGGTTTGCAAGGTGGCATTTGGCATTTTTTAGCTTCACTGCCAGTATCAATCTAAATAACGCAGAAATAATCAATGCAACGTCAACTGAGAAGGTGTGAGTAAATCAATGGCCTCCCCAAGGAATTTTAGAATTGGTCTTCACATCTGATGAGCATTCACACAGACCATTCAGTTATTATAAAAATACACCACATGAACTAGCTCTGGGGCTGGGTGAAAGCTTAGAAGTGACCCATTTTTAATAGACTGAAGACCCCTGGCTAATAGCAATGCGGGCATATTGACTATCTGTGATGAAACACTACGTATAATTTAGAAAGAGCTGCTTGAATAACCATGTTGTAGAATATTCAGGGCTGTTAAAACTGATGATGTAGATCTACATTTGTTGAGATGGAAAGATGCCTACAATATTGCTAAGTCGAAGGAAGCAGACAACAGAACAGCATGATTATGTAAAATTATTGCATATTTATACTGATATCTATTTACAGATCTGTGAATATTCTCTGAAATGTTAATAATAGTTATCTCTGGGTGATAAAACCGTGGGGTAGTTTTTTCTTTACTTTTATAGTTTTTTGTGTTGCTTGAATTTTAACAGTAAGCAGTTATTTTTACAATTATTGAAAGAAAACAATACAGATTGAAAAAATTTGTTGAAAATAAAAAAGCCTCATTTAAAAAACCTTCAAATTTCCTAAAAGATGCTTACTATAAAACAAAAACAGGGGCCGGGCGTGATGGCTCACGCCCGTAATCCCAGCACTTTGGGAGGCCGAGGCGGGCGGATCATGAGGTCAGATCGAGACCATCCTGGCTAACACAGTGAAACCCCATCTCTACTAAAAATACAAAAAATTAGCTGGGCGTGGTGTTGGGCACCTGTAGTCCCAGCTTCTTGGGAGGCTGAGGCAGGAGAATGGCGTGAACCCAGGAGGCGGAGCTTGTAGTGACCTGAGATCGTGCCACTGGACTCCAGCCTGGGTGACAGAGCAAGACTCCATCTCAAAAAAACAAAAAACAAACAAACAACAATAACAACAAAAACAACTCTTGTATGAGCAAATTAAAAAACCTTTCACCTGCCTGCATAACTGAACCATGTAACTGACCATGTGCTGAATATGGTTAGCAGTGAAAGGGAAGAAACGGACACCATTTGAGGAGAGGCACAGGGGAACTCAAGCTTTCCTGACCTAGTGTGCATAATATGCACACTTTTTGAGTGCCTGAAGTATGAAGTATCACTTCAAATATTATTTTAACCCAAGCTTTGATGGTAATTGAGTTACAGGTACATTATTTTTCTAAGTTCATAGCCTAAAGCACAAGAGAAAATATCCCGTGACTGACGGCAAAGAAATGATGACTTCATTCCCCATGGCAGTTTCTGTTGCAAAGAAAAGAGACATACGCTGCTGATCACAGTACAACTCACATTTTATTCCATTGTGATTGGTATACATGTAAGATTGAGACAGCAAGAGACTAAAAATCAGTGCAGAACTTCTCTGAACTAAAGGGCCGTGAAAGGCATGATTGGTTTTGGCACACAGAGTGGATAACCATACATTGACTGGAATGAGGTGGTCAGGAAAATAAAATGCACAAATCTAACACCATGTTGAAATCATGTCTGAGTTCTGGAGAATGTTAAAGAGTAAATAATTACAAAGACTTACATGCAGCTCTTTACCTTACATTATTCATCTACAGACTATTTTTCTCCCTTAGAGATGAGGAGATGGCCTTAGTAATCTGTTCACAGTAGCTGCAAAGACCAATCAATACACATTAGAAAGATCTGCCTGATTTCTATAGCAATTCATTATAGCTGAAGAAATAATGCTAAATAATGTATTTTCTCTTTATCATCCTTTAACTAAATTGAATCACATCACCCAAGTAATTCTGACTTAACTTTTACTTAGTTAAATATAATTTCTCATGTCTTTTAATGTCAAAAAGCAGTTTCTGTTAGTTTATCCATTGGTGTATATCACAATGGATGTGAGGAAAACTTATGTGATAGTATCTTTCCTTTTCAAAAATAACATTATGCTAATGAGAACATCAAAGAAGTAACACTATGTTGCAAGTAATTTAGGTTTTCACATCATCAATCACATAGGGAGTCCAAAGAAGCCAGCCTAGCGGGTAATGTAGCAGAGCAGAATGTAATGCAGAAGAGGCACACAGAGTCTAAGTGATTTCTCCAGACAAAGAAGGAAAGACAGACAGAAGCAAAAGAAAGGAAAAGTGAAAAACAGTCTTCTGCAGAACAAATTGTTACAAAGAAAAATCCATTTGCTTGCAATTGATTAAACATAATAGAGAAGAGTTCTTTGATTTGGGATGGCAGAAGTAAAGATATTAAAAATTATACGCTGGTAAGCCTAAACTGGCTGACTGGGCCATTTTTCCTGTGGTTGTGTTTGAGATGTTGAGCTCTCACAGGGAGAATTTTTGCTTTTGCCAAGGAAGGGCCAGATTTAACCCAAAAGGGCAACCTTGACTGCTGAGAACATTTTTTCTATCTTAACTTGGGCATGTGGCTAACATTCATTCTCTCCCTGGTAAAAAGATATTATTCATCTCTCATGAGATGGTTCAAAACATGACAGTGACCAAGACGTGGTTTATTCACAGGATGCACATAATTGGCTATCTGCATATGGCATGAATTAAAAAGTTAAGCAACAAGGAAGAGAAGGAGGAGAAAAAACTTTTACAAATTTCTGGCATAAAATAATCAAATAAAAGAGAAAGATAGTGGTTAAGGATGTTTTCATTTTCTCAGAGGTTTCTCACTTCCATCTGCTACAGGGGAAATGAATGAAAGTAATTCTCTTTAGGTCACCAACATAAGGAATCTTTGACTGCAAACATAGAGGTGAGCAGAGCAAGACTTGAAGTGATATTTCTTAATCTCTTTGACTCTTAATCTTAAACAACAAGCCACAGGCAATACAGGAAAGGTGGAGATGACTAGGAAGTGTGATAACGTGCCTGGATCAGTTACCATTCCTTGGAAAGTACCGTTTCCCCTGCCTGTTAATAGGCTGATTCCTGCAGGTTTGAGTAAAGGAATCATCTCTTCCTTCAGTGCCCCATTGTTCTTCATAACAGACCTGTGTCAGTTGAAAGTTGTGTAATTTAAAGGCTAGAGAAGAAATTTAAATTGGATTCCACAGTAAATATTCACAGATATTTCAAAGTAGAATTGTCCACTGTCTGGGGTTGCTTTCAAGCATCAAGGTGATCGCTTCCTGAACATGTTCATTGACCATGAGGAGCTGTTTACTCTGGCTCATATTGGACTACCAGTAATCATTTTCAGACATGATGTCTCTTTTGAAAGAAATGACTTTGCTGGACCAGGATAACTGCAAAGGGTAGAAGACTGGAAACAGGGTGAGTCAGGGTAGGTGGAAACGGAAATGAGTTGAAGGGGAAAAAAAAAAAAAAAAAAGAGTTCCTCCAAGGTCATATATGGTCAGTAATGAAGCAAAAATTCAGGGTATGTGACTTGAAGACTTTCAAAGACATTGTTCCCGTGGGATGTTTCCAAGCTTCTTGATCTTTAATGTCTTAGCAACTTACTGATACTGGATTTACCTTCCTAGGTGTGGTGCCCTACTTCTGGAATTTAGATCTCAGGGGCAAACCCTGCCAGGATATGCCTCTGTGTAGTTAACACTGCCCCAGACAGCAGCGCTGATTTCAGTCACAGTTCTGCTGAGGAGCCTGTCTGCCCCTGGCAGGGGTGAGGGGAGGGTTGTTGGTGGTAGATGTAGTCAGAGGCAGAGGAGAACAATGGCAGACAGGGTGGACCTGCAGGAAGGTAGCCAGAAGGAAAGACCTTGGGTTTTACCCAAGGTCAAGGGGGCTGTGATAGAAGAGCGAAAGGCAAAAGTAACTAACTGAAATTCAGAAGTAAAAGAGAAAAGAGGATCCCTGGACCAGGGAATTTCACAGGAACCAAACATGATTCATGATATAGAGGGAAAAAAAAACAAAACAAACAAGCTTATCTGACTGATCAAGAAGACATTCTTCAGAATATACTGACAACTAAATAATTTTCACACCAATAATACAAACACTAAATGAGTGTTTCCTTACTATGATTAATCACATTTTGATAATTCATTAGCTCTATATCTTCTAGGTTGCTTAATTCATTTAGCAAATCCACAGCTTAGGTACCACCGGGAGAGGAGGGAGGGTGGGGGTGCTGAATGAAGCAATTCAACTTAGAATCAAATTTTGTAAACAAGAGTTAGTAGCACAGTGGCACAGTAGATTGTCAAGAAAAACAACGGGAGTGGGCACAGAGTCATCGGCCTTGCCTGTGCGGTCTTGCCGCCTACCAGGGAGGACTCTGAAGCTCAGGAGTCTACCTTCTTGTTAATTAAAACTGAGCAGCAGGTGAGCAGCCCGTCCACCTTTTCCAGTTCAGACATGCTCACGGGGATCAGCATATGGTCCTTCAGTTTCTCATAAACCTACAGTGGGAATCAAGGAAAAGGAAGAAAAAGAAGGATTATGTTTCTGCCTGTTTTACCATCCTCAGAAGTGGAGAATCAATTTGATTTGTGCATCTAGGCTTTTCATTCATTTAATCCCAAGACACACATGCAGTCTCAACCACACACATGCCCACAGTCATCACCACAGAGCTGGTGGGAACTGGTTAACCACTAGCTCTGTGCTTTAACCTCAAGGCCAAAGATGTGTCAGAAATGTGGTTTTGCTAGAGATGCCTTTACTCTGCCATTGTCCTTGCTAGATTAAGTGGTATGTGGAAGTTGGTGGCCACGTGTCAGTCTGAATATTACTCTCTCCTCACACTTTATTTTTATTTATTTACATATTTTTGGAACAGGGTCTTGCTCTGTCATCCAGTTTGGTGTATAGTGGCGTGACCATGGCTCACTGCAGCCTTAGCTTCCCAGGCTCAAATGATCCTCTCCCTCTGCCTCCAAAGTACCTGGGACAAACAACAGACACACACCACTATGCCTGGCTAATTTTTATTTTTTATTTTCTGTGAAGACAGGGTCTCACTATGTTGCCAGGGCTGGTCTTGGCTTCCTGGGTTCAAGTGATCATCCTGCCTTGGCTTCCCAAAGTGCTGGTATTACAGGCATAAGCCACCACGCTAGGCCTTCTCTTCACACTTTAAAACCCTCTCAACTATACCTTTGGTTTATTTTCTTACCAACACCACTGGAAAAATTTGACAAGATATAACTTAAGTATTTCAGGTTAAATTGCTTTTAAATTACAAGTGTAAATTTTATTAGCATCTTTTGACACTAATAGAAAGCATAAGTCAGAACTTCAATTAACAGTTAATAGATTTTTCTGTGATGATCAAATAAAGCATATTTTTAAAAACAAAGTTACTTGAAAGTGTACTGCCTAATAACAATCTACTGTGCTTCTTTAGGAAGCACTGTGTTTCTTAAAATTCAGCACAGTGGTTAATTAAGAGTGTTGGAGCCAAAGTAGGGTACCAAACCCAGTTCTGTCAACCTACTACTTAAAGAATTATTTCAGTGAAGTGACATTCCCTCTGAGCCTGGTTTACTTCTCTGTAATACTGGAATAGTAATGTTGCCCCATAGGGCTGTTACAAGGACTGAATAAGATAATACCCCTGGGATGCCTGGCACCCTGCCTGGCACCAGGGAAGCCCTCAGTAAACAGGGATATTATTAATACTATTGTCATTTTTGAGAGACACACGGCTGAATCGGGGACAGTGAATAATCATCTGGTAGGTCAGATGATCAATGTGGCTAAAGAGGGATGAATGATTCAGACCTGTATTTCTCAAAGTGAGTTCTGTGACTGGGTGCTTGTTGATATTGTAGATTCTAGGGTGGGGGTCCAGGAACTTGCAATTTTAGCAACCCTGATGTGCATTAAAGTATGAGATCCATTACTCATCTAAGAGCTGGGTAAGCCCCAGTCCTGGGTCAGGAGTCCTCTATTTTCCTCAGGTTCACATTTTCAGCCATGGAAATAGAAAAAAGTATCTATGTATTCCCCCCACCCTTTTCTTTTTATCTGCTCAGAAAGAGGCTGTGATTAGAGAGTGAGTCTAGTAATTATATAATATTGCATATTTAAAAGGTAGTATAAAATATTTTCTAATATTTGCAAAGCTTAAGACAAAAAAAAAAAAGATCAATGATTACTAAAAGCTCTTCTGAAATGCATAGTATAAATATCTTGTTCCTATTGGCAGAGATGAGATGCTGAGTGCCTAGAAGATATGGACACTTGAAGAATCTATGGACGAGCACTGTTATGTTTGCTTGGTAGGGTAAAATCGAAATTACTAAGGTATATAGATGAGACTGGCAGAGTACGCTGAAAAACAAGGGAGATTTTCTTAGACCAGGAAAAGCATTTCAGATCCAGAGACAGCTCCCTTACTGGAACACAAACGCAGAGACTCCTGGAGGGACCAGTTGGCTGATTTCGAGTGTACCATATTTCTTCCTGCTCTATCTTTTCAATGAAGAGCTTTTTGCTACCTAACATGGGCAGTTTCTTCTTTCTGCAGCCCTGACAATGAACACCCACCACTCTGGGTCATTCATACTCCTCTACCTAAAGAAACAAATGGCCAGGCATGGTGGCTCATGCCTGTGCACTTTGGGAAGCTGAGGTGGGAGGATCATTTGAGCCCAGGAGTTCAAGACTAGCTCAGGCAACACAGGGAGACCCCGTCTCTACAAAAAATAAAATTAGCCAGGTGTAATGGCGCATGCTTGTAGTCCCAGGTACTCGGGAGGCTGAGTTAGGACGATTGCTTCAGCCCAGGAATTTGAGGCTGCAGTGAGCCATGATTATGCCACTGCACTCTAGCCTGGGCAACAGATCAAGATCCCGTCTCAAAAAAAAAAAAAAAAGGACTGAGCATGGTGGCTCATGCCTGTCAGCCTATCATCCCAGCACTTTGGGAGGCCAAGGCAGGCAGACTGCTCGAGCTCACGAATTTGATACCAGCCTGGGCAATGTAACAAAACCCCATCTCTGTTAAAAATACAAAAATTAGCCAGGTGTGGTGGTGTATGCATGTAGTCCCATCTACTCAGGAGGCTGAGGTGGGAGGATCTCTTGAGCCCAGGAGGTGGGGTTGCAGAGAGCCAAGATCATGCCACATCACTCCAGCCTGGGTAACAGAGTGAGACCCTGTCTCCAAAACAAAAAAAAAAGAAAAAGAAAAAGAAAAGAAACAAATGGCCCTTTTCTGAGGGGCAGCTCAGCAGCTCTGTCAGAAAACAGTGATACCGTTGACCATCTGATTGTAGGTCTTTATGCTTAATGAGTATCTGAGGGTGGGAAAGTACATTTAATCAGAGCTAGGGCATAGACTTGGGTGAGTACTTATTTGAAAATCTGAGTATTATTTGAAAAGCTTTGACTATCGGCATGATCATCTCAATTACTATGCATACATTAGTGAGCAATGACATGAATGAGAAAAGTGAAACACATTTTCCTTGTGCCCTAAATTGTATTATCCTTCCTCTTCTTAATGGTTTGATATGTATAGAGGAAAAGGAGGCTCCTATTGGTCACTCCATTATGAAAGAATCCCCAGGGAGGCCGACCCAGCTGCAGTGGCCAGAAGGGATATTTTTTTACCTTTGCACTTTCTGGATACTCTTCCGGGGTTCGGTGCAGCAATACGTGCCCTTTGTTGGGGATATTTAGATATATACAGTTTGCTGCTATGTCATCAGGCACAGTGAGTTTGTCGTAGCGGTGGTCACTCATCTGTTGCATGATCTATAAAGAGAAACAAAGCAGGCCTAAGCAGAGTATCTCCCCACACTTTCAAACAGAAGGAAGGCAGTGTGGTAGGATACAAGCTTGTAACTGACACTTTAGGCTGTTCCTCTGTTCAAATTCCCATCTATTACCTCCAGTCACTTAGAACCAGACAAGGAAAACTTGATTAAGCTATGAGTCTTTGGAAGAATTGCAAGGGTTTTTGTTGTTCTTTAAAAGTATGTGTTTGTCTCTCTTTTCTTTTAAGGTTTTAAAACTGTCTATTATTTTTCTAGTCTTTGTTCAGAAGACCTATCAGTAAGATAAAAATGGCACATGTAAGGCCCAGGAGGGGTTTTGCTATCTTTGGCTGAGTAAGCAGGGCTGCCTCCTCTATAGGAAAGAAGGGCCATACCAGTAATCAGAATAGTCAATAATGTGAATCTGATTTAGCAGTAACACCACATGTGTGCGCGCGCACGCACACACACACACACACACACACACACACTTTGCTCTTCATATATTTTTAAACTGAATTCACCTGTTCACTGGCAAGTGATGGACTTAATACAATGAGCATAAAAGCCACCTGGGGAGAATGAGAAAATCATATTTCCAGGCCTCAACCTTAGGGAATGCTGGTTTGGCAGATTTTGGGTGAGGCATAGGAATTTTGCATTTTGAAAGCCCTACAGATAATTTTGAGGCAGAGGGTCCCTGGACCACAACTGGAAAGAAAAAAAAAAAACCTTCTTGGCAGGTCTGTTCTTCAAATGATGAACTTATTAGTATCTTAGCATAAAATAACTTTAAAAACAACACAAAAATGAACTCTGCACAAAATTTAAAATATTGATACCTCATCCTTACCTCCTCATCATAATCAAAACCCTCAAAAAACAACACTCCTCCCCCTAACAACAAGAATATCCAAATTTTAAAAACCCACAAAAACAAATATTATTTGGGGTTTAGTCATGTAGACTCTTTCTGCTCTTTATCAATATCCATACAGTTTTAAGGAATCTGCTGAAATGTCATGCTAGGAAGGTATAACATGATCTTTTCCACAATCTGGTTCTAATCTACCTTTATGGTCCCATCTACTTTTACTTTTCAGTGTTTGTATGGAAATGTGCTTCATATTACTAGGTAGACATGCCCACTCAGTCATGGGTGCACTGGATAGTAAGATTTATGGTATGAAGAGCAGGAGAGAGAGAGCATACTTCCTGCAGAAAATTCATTCCTAAGAGCGGCACACAGTAAGCCCTTCCTGACTCACCAGTCAGGTAAACCATTCACTTCTAGTGTGGAATATGTCAAGGATGGAGAAAGGCCAAGAGCAGTCCCACAATGGAATACCTTTCACATGGAAGGTGACATCAAGAATGGGGATGAGCTTAAGCATTGTATGAAAGGCTGAGACATACAAATGAACAGGACCCAGACCCAGTTTTCCAAGAGATTACAGTTTAGTGGAGGAAACTGACAGAAAAATAGATAATTATATAACAATAAGAACTAGCAGCGCACCACGCCAAACATTTTACATTTATTATCTAATCTCAAAATTCTCATTTTACAGATGAAGAAACTGCACTGAGAGAGGTCAAATAACTTGCTCAAGGTCACACAGGTAGATTCAAACCCAGATCTGTGCAACTCAAAACGTTTCTTAATCATCTTACTTTGCTCTTCCTCAACTTCTGTAGCAGCAAACTATCTCCTACAAACTACATAACACCTACGTTTTCACATTCACTTGGTACTTATTATTTACTCTCTGGCAGTACCATTAATTCTTTTCTTATATGTAATCCTATTATGACTTGCTACAGTCTGGTATAGGTAAAGGACTTAACTGGACACCTCTCTTGCACTTTTGAATTTAAATTGTTCTTGAAGGGATAGGCCCATAGAGGGGATCACCTATGGAGTGGGTCTTTCTTTATAGCCCTGATTAGAAACCTTAGATCTAATCCAACATCTGGGCAATTAAGAAGTTAAAGACACTCCTAAATGTTAACTTTTCTAAGAAAATTAACAACATATTCAATTTAGCCCTCTTTATAAAATGGATATGCCCAGAAATAATATGAAGAAGCTTGAGAGAGAGAGAGAGAAAAAAAAAAACAGACCCAAGTAGCTCATTTGTTATGAATTGTAATTTAGTTCTTCTTATGCAGATTTTCTTTTTGGTTGCTTCCAAAACACAGTAATAGCAGCTTCCATTTATTATTGTGTGCAAGGGAACGGATGAAGACCGCCTGAGCCCAGGAGTTTGAGACCAGCCTGGGAAACATGGCGAAACCCTGTCTCTACAAAAAAATTAGCTGCGTGTGGTGGCACACACCTGTAGTCCCACCTCCTCAGGAGGCTGAGGTGGGAAGATCATAGAGGTGGCAGTAAGCCGAGTTAGTGCCACTGCACTCCAGCCTGAGCCACAGATAATCTGTCTTGGAGTCTAATCCTTAGTCTTAAAAACCACAAAAGACTAGACCCACCACATTCGCAAAATTACTTCTTCAGCTTCCTTCTTTCTAAGGCCTACGTTAACACACAATCTAGTAGTGTTGCAGGCTTAGCATCCCTTCTACCTAGATTCCCTAGAGAGATAATTGCTATAAAGTTCCAAAACTTTTCAGAATAAGGACAAATTTTACTGTGAGGTTTTGTGCAGTTTCTCTCTCTTCAACCAGACTGCTACCTCCTTGAATGCAGGTCCAGGCATAATGAGGTGGACAGACCATGGGCTTTAGAGTCAGAAAGGTCTGGGTCTGAAGCCTTGCTCAGCCGCACACTAATTGCGTGACTTTGGGAAAGTCACATATGCCCTGTGAGCCTCAATTCTCTCAGCAGTAAAATGGGATGGGAATGCTATACCTATCCTCCACAGGGTAACCCTGAGGATTATTTAAAAAAAAAATCCAAAACAGATAATGTACATAAAATGCTTAGCACAAGCTTCTAGCAGAAATTAAATGTGTAATAAAAGTCAGTTCACTTCCCTCTTTGTTTCTTGCAAGTCACTTGACATAGAGCAGGTGACCAAAATATGTTTGCACTAACTGGTTCATTTCTTCATTCCTTTCACCTTTTTAAAAGCTATGGAGAACCTCAGGAGGGCACTGTGATGAACTATGTGGTCAATCACATGGGTAAACAATTAAATTCCCTCAGAGAAACAAGGTATGGTCTATGTCCAGAAATAGAAATACAATTCATTATTTTTAATGTGAAAAAACATGGCTAAAATCAATGAGGCCAAGGTTTGTCTGTTTTTCAAAGCCATACAGAAGGGCACTATACTCTGTGGTCCTAACTGAAATGACTCTGGATGACAAAGTAAGACAATAGAGGGGTGGACCTGGAATTACCTACAGAGTATGTGGCACCTAAGGGCATTCACAGAAAGAAAGAAAAGAAAAACTTTTGTGTATATCACACTGAACACATAGGCCTCTGTCAGGCTGTGACCCCAATTGAGTAAAATAGTCCAGAAACCCAATGGGCAGACTGACTTCTTCACAGTAGAGTAGGGCTGCCTCGATATGCAACGTGGCAGTTAGGATTTGTGAGACTTCTAGACAATACCTTTTGGTCAGTCTCACAAACATGCTTTTTTCCAGTTGCAGGGAATGGGTTCCACTATGTCTAAATCTCTGCTTATTATGTGTTGAGGGTGGACCAAGATGGCCAGTCTGCTGATGTTTGCAGTCAGAATGGGACGGTCATCCTGTCACATATATTGGACCTAGTTTACCCGAGAAGTTCAGAATTTCTTCCAGATCACTGGGGAGGCAGTTCTCTGAGCCAGAGGTTTACTAAGTAGAACCCCAGTGGTTTGAGGACCTCAGAGAGATCCTTACAACATGTATGCACAACCACTGCTACCTGGTCAACCTAGACACAAACAAAATCTAGAAAATCTGTTATTCCCATTGACTTACTTTTCTAAGCAAATGGGAGAACTGTATGTAGCATATTTTGGCCCACACACACCATTCATAATCACCAGATAACTGCCGGTTGGTTTTCCATTTTAATTTGTGGTCTGCGATGCTTCATTGTACTCTTTATCTACAGATAAATAAATCACCCATGTCTCTTAGTACCAGATGAGTTGAAAGAGAAAGAAGCATGGCAAGACTACATCTCCTAGGCCTGACTTTATTCACTGGATCTAGCGGTCTGGGCAAATCCCCCACCTCTCAGCGTGACTCATGCATGTCCGGTGGTGACTACAAAGCAGAAGTATGGAATGTCATACATTCCAGAGGAAGTGTTCTCAGGGATTGTTATCAGTGCTGACTTCTTGTTTACCAGTGAGGAAACAAACTAAAATCTCCAAGGTTGTGCCCATCTCAGAAAGCACCACATGTCACTGGAGCGACAGGGCCTGTCCAGTTGACTTCAGCTGTTTCCATACTCTGCCCTGTCCCCCAACCTCACCTCCTTGAGTGAACAATACTCTCCCCTACTTGGTTCCTATTTGAATTGTTCTTCAGTTACTGGCATGTATTTGAAATTCTAATCACTGTTTTGTTTCACTCTGTAATGCTTCTTCCTTTTCTGAGTCTTATTTTCATCATTTAAAGGTTCTGGTGGGGACATTCCTATACTTACTAACATAAAGGCCAGTACCTACTTTAGAATTATTTGAGACAGTTTCAATTTTTCATTACTGGGAGAAAAGGAATTATAATATCTTTAGTGGGGAAATAATTTAATGCTGAGAATATATGAAGTAATTTACTGATAAATTCCACTGAGAGTTACTCTTAAAATAAATGTCTTAACAAAACCAACAAAGCCACCTTAGGAGAAGCTTTTCTATTAATTTATCAAGACTCCACGGTTATCATTTTAAGACAGATTTAAGAATATGCCCAAAAAATGACTTTTAATAATGAACAGGCCCCATTTGGAGCAGTGAGTGGTTCTGCTTAACTGAAAACAATTACAAAAGGTATGTCAGGCATAGCCTTTCTAAACGAAAGGGATTTATGAAG